CGAGCGAGGAAGCGCGCGGAGGAGGTGCGTGAGGCAGAGGCACGCGGCGAGCTGGACGTCGGGGGTGCGAGATTGGGTTAGCGTGAGGAGGGTGTTTAGGGGGGTGGGGTGGTCTATGGGTTGAGGGTTGGGTTGGGTTAGGTGAGTGGGAGGGGAGGGAAGGGGGAAGGGGAGGGACGTACGGTCGTGGGTGGCGGGGTTGGGTTTGGAGAGGGCGCTTGCTAGGTCTGGGTTCTCCTTTGTGAGAGAGGCGAGGGCCATTAGTGCCGCTTCTTGTAGCTACACCGTAATTAAATCATGATGAATTATGAGTAAAAGCCAAGATGGAGAGAAGGGACAGACCTTGACGTCGCGGCTCCCTACCAGCCCAAGCAGCGCCCTTGCAACCCACCCCCCCATCCTCCCAGGACCCACTCCAGAAAGTATAGTCGAACTAGTCTTCTCCCACCCCCGTCGCGTCTTGTGCGTGTCCTTGGCCTTGGCGCTGGCGCGGTCGGCGGGGGGCAGCCATTCTGCGACGACCGTGCGGTGCGGGCGGGCGCGTATGGCGGAGGCGAGGAGCTGGGCTATCGATGTGGGTATCTGTGTAGATGACGAAGAGGAGGGGGTGGGGGAGGGGGATGGGGAGAGGAGGGGGAGGAGGGTGTCGAGGGTGTCGAGCTGCGAGTGGGGGTGGGGTTAGGGTTAGACAAGGCTGTGAATAGGGATGGGGGGAGAGGTGAGGGGAAGTACCTGGAATAGAAACTCAAGAGCATCTTTAGCATCGTCCTTCGCGATACTGGATCCAGGGCCGAGACCCCACTGGGAGGGCCCGACGACGTCTGCGATGGACACGGTGAGCGCGCGGAGGGCACGGGCAAAGGCCGAGCGGAGGGCGGGGGGGTCGTCAGGCGTGAAGTGGGCGATGGCGTAGAGGAAGGCGCGGGGTGCGTTTGCGCGGAGGAGGGAGAGGAGGGCCTCGTCGGAGCCTGCGTGGGGTTGGGTTAGATGGATACTATTACTAGGGGGAGGAGGGAGGGTACCATAGGAGAGAGAGGCGATGACGTGGGCGGCTTCGATGCGTATATCGTTGGGCGAGGCGCGTGGATCGTGCGGGGTCGGTGTTTTAGGGTAGTTCAGGCAGTCAATCAGGCTTTCCCTGCGTTGAGCACAATCACATGTAGCTTGGGGAGGACACGACTCACTTGCCGATGAAGAAGACATCGCGGGCGAGCTGGAGCTTGGCGGAGGGGTTGCCGATGACGGTGTTTTTGACTTTGCGGAGGTTGGCGAGGTTCACTGAGGTCAGCGTCATGGCCAGCGACCAACTATGAAATTACGCTGATCGAGGCTGAAACGCCGAGACCGTGGGAACTGATGACGGGCCCTGGAGGAGGTCGTCACTCACACCGCCCGCCAGCTGCCGATCCGACGCGATCAACCCCTGCTCTATAGAGGTCTAGATTCATTTTCGTTTCATTCCCATTCCCATTTCCTTTTCATCCTTCGCCCACCATCATGACCAACCCGAACGACAACGGAGACAGCGCGGAACTGCTGGTCTCTGCCACGCGCGGCTTCGACTACCTCTTCTGCAACGACCTCGTCAGGGCCAAGACGCACTTTGCCGACAAGGAGGACCCATTCCACCTCTTGGGTCAGGGTGTATGCGCATTCATGGAGGCCGCACTGGGCATGGAGGTCCGTCTCTCCTCCCTCTCCCCCTCTGTCCCACTGACGCCTCACCACCACCACAGTCCGGCTTAATGGCCGAAGCAACCCGCTGCCTGACCCTCTCCGAGGCCGGCGCCCGCCGCGAGACCAAAGCGCCCAAAGGCCGTGCCAACCAACGATTCCCCCCGGGGCTGGAATGGGAGATCCTCAACGCGGACGCTGTGGTTCTCCTGGGCCTCACTAACGCCCTGAGTGAATCGTACATGGGCTACCTCCAGTGCATGTACTCCCTCAACAGCGCCCATACCAAATTCTCAAAGTACGTCCCTATCTCTATCTCCCCTCCTATTCCACTAAGCACCCACCCTCCCCCAAAAGACTGTTCAAGACCGTGTTTCCAAACGGCCTAGACGCATACACGACCCCCTCCACGACCCCCGCGCCCTCCCGCAAATCATCCAACCCCTCCCTCCACTCCGCACCCATCACCACACCCGCCCCCTCCCGATCCCTCTTCGCCCGCCTCACGGGCTCCGCGTCCTCCTCCTCCACGACATTGTCCGTGCCCAACCCAGCCAGTTCAAGTACAAGCCTATCCGCAGGGGAAGACCACCCACCAGACGGACCAGTGGAGGAACTCATCGTGGCAGGCACAGCATTCGGGTTCGGGCTGTTCAACCTTGTGTTCTCCCTCCTTCCCAAAAAAGTCCAGTAAGCCCTCTCCCCTCCTGCCCCCGCCCCACCCCAACCCAAACTTACCCACTCCACCCCGCACAGGGGCATCGTCGGCTTCCTCGGGTTCAAACACGACCGAAAACTCGCTCTACGCGCTCTCGCCGTCTCCGCCTCCAAAAAGGACGTGCATAGTGTCTTCGCGGGGCTCGTCCTGATGACGTACTATGGCGTCGTACTCCTGCTGGCAGGGTATCAGGCCGACGAGGCGCATATCATCAAGCAGTATAAGGCCATCGTTGATAGGTACCCCCTCTCCCTCCCTTTCCTCGAGCTCCCGACCCCAAACTGACGAACGAGCACGTAGCATCGAATCGCGGTACCCAGAAGGCGCGCTATGGATTCTTAACCGCGTGCGTCCCCATCACCCTTCCAAATTCACATTCCCGGTACTCATATATAACGCTACCCCCAACAGGCTAAAATCCTGCGCATGTCCTACGACCCCGAAGGCGCCATTCGCGTCCTGCGCGATGGGCTCCGCCCTGAACGGCCGCACTCTTTCGCGCAGGCTGATACCCTCGTGAGTACCCCCTTCCTTTTTTTCGCGAAGTGAGGATGAGGGTGCTGATGGGGATGTGTATGTGTTGTAGCTGGTGTTTGAGCTCGCGTGGACGTTGTTGGGGCAGAGGAGGTATCAGGAGGCGGCGGATATGTTTATTAAAGTTACCGAGCTAAATTCCTGGTGCGTTCTTCTTTCCCCGTGTCTTTCATACTACTCACGCGCGGGTGTAGGAGTCATGGAACGTACTACTTCCTCGCAGCAGGGTGCTACATCTCCCTCGGCAACACCTCCAAAGCCCAAGCCCTGCTTGACGTCGTCCCCAACTTGATCGATAAGAAGAAGATCAGCGGGAAGGATCTGCCCACTGAGGTCCTGATCAAGAAGAAACGTGCGTCGCCTCTCTCTATTTTGTCTTTTCCCCCCATGGATACGTGATTGACATTGGGAGACAGTGGAGTTTTATAAGGAGAAGCAGAGACGGAGAGGAGGGGAGGAGGGGAGGTATGCGGAGGCGATTAAGATTAGTCTGGCTGAGGAGCTCGGTGTCTGTGCGTCTCTCCTCTTTTCCCTTTCTCCTCCCTCCTATCTCCCTAAACTTAACCACAAAATAGTCTGGAACACCCACGCCCGGATCGAGCGCCGCCTCGCTCTATCCCACATCCGCGAATGGTCCGCCCTCACCCCGCCCCTCCCCCCCACCACCGCGCTCCCCCCCACCACCGCCACCGCACCACTCACCCCAACACCGACCACGGCCCCGCGCGCGAGAACGCCGAGAGCGGTGTTTGGATTTTCGCATGCGCTGCAGCCTATGCCGCCCTCCGCCAACCTCCACGCGCCGCGGAAATCTGCTTCGCTCGATTCCACGCGGTCCCACCACTCTACGCACAAGTCAAGCGTAGAGGGAGAAGGAGAGGAACAGCTGGATCTAGACACGCCAGACGAGCTCGCAGTGCGACACCTCCTCGTCGGGATCTGCGAGCGTACGGCGGGTGCCCACGCGGCTTCACGGGTCTCCCTCAAGGCCGCGTGTGCCCTGCATCCCAAGGTGCGGGTGAGCACGTGGGTGGGTGGTGTTGCGATGTTTGAGCTTGCCGTGCTCGATCTCAAGGAGGTAGAGGCTAAGGAGGAGGAGGCGCGGTACGGGGCGGGTGCTGTAGCGGGATTCGGTGGTGGGGCAGGAGGAGGAGGAGGTGGGGGAGGAGGGGGCGTGCATGAAGCGGTGAAGCGCCTGACGGAGTGGGATCGGGCGACGAAGGCGGCGGGGAAGAAGTTGGATGCGGCGATGGCGCTTGCGGGGAGTAGTGTGGATTTGAGTAGTCGGTTGGATAGTCGGGTGAGTATGTTGAGGGATGAGATTGAGGGGAAGAGGGAGGCGTTGGGGATTTGAGTTTGGGTTTGGGTTTGGTGCGATGGGTTGGGTTGGGAGGGGGGAGGGATACATAGAGAAGGGGGAGGATAGAGAGAGTGCGGGGGTGAGTAGAGGAACTTGATAGATTTAGATTTAGATTCCACCCCTGAAGCTCGAGAATGTGTAATTTAATCATTAATATTGAGATTGGGACTTCGACTCCGAGTAGGGCACCGTTATAAAGTGATTTCTAGAGAGGCTAAAATTACGCGAACACATCTCGAGGGGCGGTATACTTTCCCGTCTGTCCGTGGTATCATCGTGGACGGGGGGTAGCGCACGTCGAGGAAGGGCTTTGAGTTTGGACATCCAAATTGAGGGGTGACTCCGAGTCGGACGATGACAATCGACTGCGCCGAAGCACGTTCTGAATTTCGTATTCTTGCGCAGGCTGTGGCGGCGCCTGCGGAAGTTGCAGTTCGGTGTGATGATATAGAAGCTGCGACAGTCCGCTTCGAGCAGGCGTTTTCATGGGGATCAAGTCAAGTAAAGTTATTATGTTAATGAATGCGTATACACCCATGATCTCTACTATATGTTTAATATTTGACGCTTTCGAGGGCTGGATTTCGTTCTGTAGGGATTTGCTTGCTGGTTTGTAGATATGTACTGGACAGTGATGATATTGATATCAGCATTTTGCCCTATCATCCACTTCGGAAAACCACCAAAACAAAATCCTGAGTAGTGAGCTGCAGATGGGGGCACCGCGGATTGAACGCGGGACCTTCAGAACGACTTGATCATTCAGACACTTCAGTCTGCTGCTCTCCCAACTGAGCTATGCCCCCGATACGGATGAGCAGTGAGGGAGCTTCCAGGGGTACATTGACGAACGGGTAATCACTCAATGTAACCTGGTCCGACGTCGACATGCCGGTGTCCTAGGGCGTCTGAAGTCTGAGTCAATGTTGATGTCGAAATTGGCACAATCAGGGATTAGGAAGTTGGACGAAAACTCATTCCATACATTAATCGATTAATCGTCACCAAAGACAGTGAAAGACATGCGCCGTCGGTCTCTACGACCTAACTGCGCAAAATGCGGAATACCGGTGAAAGGTAAATCACTTGTATGGTACCGCATTGCTAATGATGGCTCTCGAACTATCCGCTTCCAAGATACAAGGCCTGTGGAACGTGCAATGAGCTTGGATGAATTCGCGCTATGAAAGACGACGTACCTTACTATTTCTTTCCGGAAGCAAAGGGGTCGGCCTGTATCTGATATAACTTGGCGTATTCGCCACCAAGTTTCAGCAGATCTTCATGGGATCCGGATTCAGCAATAACGCCCTCCTTCATGCATCTGTCGTCAAAGAACATTCAACAAAGGAGGTACTTGGTCCGCGCTTGTGTACGTACATGATCAGATCATGCCCGCCCGCGCAGCGATGAGTCGATCGAAGAGCTGAGCTTCTCCTTCTGTGTCAAGGGCAGAACTCGGCTCATCGACAGCGACAAATTTGACTTTTCCGGAGTTGAGGTGCATGAACGTCCTCGAGCTAGCCAGGACATAGACTTCAGGAGATGAAACCATAGAAAAAAATCGACGAGGACTCACGCGACTAAGCGCTGTTTCTCCCCGCCCGAGATATCGATCTTCTTGGATATTTTCTCCAGCTGCTTCTGTAGGGCGTGTTCAGGATCGTCCGGGATATTGAAGCTGACAAGCTCCGTGTGGGGATTTTAGAACCGATGTCTCGGGCGTCCTGCGAGAATTAAACGAGATCTCATAGCAAGTCAACAGCTGAACGAGACACTGTTGCAAGCATTCAACTTGAAGGAACCTGCACTTGACGGACTTGACTGACAATGACCTGCACGATACTAGTTTTTGACAGGCCTGGGCGGCCCGGAATTGGCCGAACGAATGCGCGTGTCTGCCCAAAACCACTGCCTTTGTATTTCGGCCAGTACGTCCATGGTCTCGGATTCTATCTTGCGTACCGCTGTAGCCCAGTAATGGACTCTGTAAACACATTACTGCCTCGAATCACGCACTCACGCCTCGCTCGCCGAACCTTCAAGAAGCAGAGTCTGACCGTTCGTGCTTGGGATTAGGATGCGGTGAGTTTTTCCTGCTTCAACCAGGACCAATATTTCTAAGAACTCTATTGGCTAGGCGCATGGTACATTTGAGATGACAATTGTGGTTCCGGAAGATAAAAAGCCTTGAACTCGCCGTCTTCGAATGTACGTTTTCGTATGGGGCCCACTAACTCCCTAGCCTCTTTGTCGTTCCGAGCGCTGATGCTTAAGACTATAGAGGAGAAAGATACAGAAGGACCTGCAGCCCTCATGTAACTGATGCAGGGGGTAAGGCTGTACTACCCCGCACGACTCTGACGACTCGGACCTCAGATGGGATGCTCGGATACTAAGAGATGTTCTGGGACGCTCCGAACATGAGGGGAGGACGAGGATCAATAGTTACTGTGAACTGCGGATTTCTGGTACGTCAGTTTGTTTTCACCCACGATTTCCGTGTTGACCAGGCTTCAGGAGAGCATAGCGTGCGCGAGGAAGTCAATGTTATCTTTTGCTGGGTACGCAACACCACTTGACGAATGCAGCACCGTGAATCATAACTCTGGATATATTTCATCCTTCTTTAGATGGGGTATACGATACGATGGAGAGACAAGAAAGAGACAGAGAAAAAGAGGAGGAGAAATAATAAAGAAAAAACCGGATATAATGATGACTACAATAACCGTGGAACTCTCAACTCTGACCTGGATACCATATCGAGCGGCGCGGTGACGGTCCTTGGGTCCTATACCGATAACTTATCATCAACACTCAGCGCCTGCCACGCCGCCTCATCCGCAACTTCTCTCGCCAATCCTGCTCTTCTTCTGCCCGTAACTTCCGGACCCGTCGCACACGCATCTCCTCGAGATTGGCAAGACTTGCCGGGGTGTTTTCCCAATCCTCCGCGACGTCGGGTTCCGTTGGCCAATCATCCACGGCATCCATGAGATTCTCGTACCCTTCGCACGCGAGCAAGATATCGTCCATGTCAAGCGAGGTGTCCGGATCCCCGGGATCGTACGCGCGGCGAGAAGGTGCAGGTGATGGAGAAGAGGGAGGCGAGGGCAAAAGCGACGGTATGGAGTCCAGGAATGCAGGGAAACTGTGCGTACCAGGTGGCGGTGTCATCATCCGCACGGTAGGGGGCGAGGGAGAAATGATATTTAATCCAGGAGGGTAGGGCTGGCGGACTGGCGTCATGGGTGGGAGCTCGCTGGTTGAAGGACGACCAAGGGGGGATTCTACTTTGGTTCTGGCATCGAGGCTTGGCGGTGGAGTTTGGGGCCTGGCTGGCGAATTTACAGACGTCTCTGTAAGCTCTGAGGTGGCAGCTACCATGGTAGCGACCAAAACATCCGCTTCGCTATTGTTCGTGTCCGTTCCGTCGAGATCGTTCTGGAGCACGCTCATCCACTCAGTCGCGTTCCATTCCGGCCCATACGTTGTACCTGTCGTAAAGAAGTCGGCGAACGACTCGTCATCGACTTCGAGGGCGGCCGTGGATGGGTCGGGCATCACGTACAACACGTTATCTCCTCCCTCCTCATCGTCATCCAAAAGAACGTTACCCAGTGGCGCCTCGGCATGTACGAGGAGATCGTTGGCGAAAGCTTCTGGGAGTGTGAGCGAGAAGGAGTCGTTGCTTGTGCTCGCGGATATGGATATGGATGAGCTGGGATTATCTTCAACGATAGATTGATTTGCGAGCATCTCCGGCTCCTGCCCGATGATATTCACTTGCATCGCCTCCTCCACCTCCTCGTGAACGTCCTCCAATGGGGTCTCGATGTCCTCGACGACGTTACGTACTAGACCGACAGGTGTGGCTTCATCGTTCTGGGGTGGTTCTTGTGCTTCGGCATCCAAATCGGCGTCGAAAAGGAGCCAGTACTCAACGTCCATCTCGTCCGCAACAACCTCCCCAGTGCCTTCAATGCTCCCTCCCATTGTAATATCCTCCACGCCCCACATCACCGGTTCCTCCTCTTCAATCTCGTCCAACAGTCCCACCAGCATCATGCTCATACCAAGTACATCGCTTTCGACGTAGGTGGTGTCGCCCTCAGCAGCCTCCTCGTGCCCCGGGTCGGCTATTGAACCATGGTGCTCAACGGTCGAAAGAGATGCCTCGCCTTCTTGCTCTTCCACGTCGGTGTCGACGTCAGCATCTTCAACGGCCTCAGTCCAATCAATCACCGCACGCCTAACATCGAGCAGCGCCATATAACCGTTCCGGGGGCTACCCTCGCTGCCAGCAGCGAGGCTCGGAACAGTCAGGTCAGCCGCTAGATGTGATGACTCACCATCACCTTCTGCGAATGGGAGTAACGACATGATATGCTGAGGGGACAAGGGCTCAGACAGAGGCATTGTGTCGTGCTCGGACTCGTCATCCGAATTGAAGCTTGAACTAGTCCGCAATGATGGGAGGTAGAGGTGGTCCTCATCGGGCTCGACGGTTCGAAGTGGGGATGAGGAGCCACGGGGAGAGATATATTGAGGAGACGAGGGCTCAAACAGAGCGGTCGTGTAGTGCTCGGACGCGTCATCCGAACTAAAGCTCGAACTAGTCCGCAATGACGGAAGGTAGAAGTAGTCCTCATCAGGCTCGACGGTTCGAAGTAGGGATGAGGAGCCACGAGGAGAGGGAGTGGGGGTGGTATACCACTCTTCTGAGCTGATGCTCGTGACGGAGGCGATGGTGGGAAGCGGCGACGGCGGTGGGGACACCGGCAGCAAAGGAGATGGAGTATCGACGAGAACCATATGAACTTGGCTCTGTGCGTCAGCCACCTCACGGATGTCGATCGCATCGCTGGCGAGGGAACATGGAGGAGAAGGAGGCCCGGTACCGTTCCACACCAACTTGATCAAGACCACCATGGTCGCAAGCACAGTGACGGACACCAGCAGGAGCGCAAACCAAGGCACGCCGGGATCAGGTTGGTACAACACGGTCGAGGTGGGTGGGAGGATGGTGGTCAAGGATGCCGGAGGCTTGAAGGTGGCTGTCAGCCTCCCATCCAGATTGCAGAGAGCGTTGAAGAGGAGAAGATTGACGAGTGCTGCATAGGTCTGCAAGCGGGGGGTGATGAGGGAGAAGATCCCGAAGGATAGGCTGGATGTTTCGATGATTGAGATCATAGTTGTTGGCTTGAAGATGGGGGTTAAACGGTAAGATTGTGTTGAAGGAGGTCGAATGCCTGACGACCCTTATATATGACCATTACGACTCAGACCAGGATGTCGAATTAGGCAAGAGGCATCGGTGGCTGACACAGTGGAATTTACGATAGAAGGTAACCGATATCATCAACCTACGCTTGAAGGACAAGCCGTTTGGGCGGGAGGAAGAATGGGAACGAAGTCTGCCGCATGTGTGACTTTAGAGAAGGATCAAATATACACAAAAGTTCGCGGAAACGAAGATCAAAACTGACATAAAAGAGTCGAGAAAAGGTTCGGCCCTGCGTGGGTTCGGGAACACGACCATGGCGCCATGCGTAACAATGAACTGAATGAGAGAGCCGTCACGCTGGCAGAGTACACGGAAAACGCGGGATCCAAGGCTGCAAGATTGGAGGTCCCTGTTCCATAGCACATCAGCGACTCCATCTATAATGTCTTCAGGAATCGTAGCGGTCATGGTGGTGTTGACAAGGCTTGACCAGGAGTATAGATCCAGCGACGATAATTGCGGCATAAATATGTGTTAATTGCCTACCGGTAACCGAATGATGACAATGCCCCTTTC